CGAAATCTTTGTTTAAAGTAAGGAACCCATAAATGGCCATGAAAAAAAAAAAAAGATTATTTTCAGGCGTATTTTGATATAATGTTTTACAAACCAAAGTTCTATAGATCACTATAAGTCGTTACATACACAGTAACATTATATATATCTTACAAATGCCTGATTTAAGTAGCGTTTCGACCGAAACTTTGTTGGGTATATTCCCGACCGACCTGACGAGGTCTGATATATTAAGCGAAAGGCTTCGTCACCGGCGTCATGTAAATGCAAAGGGTTGATTGTTGATATTGTTGTTGTACATGCAAAGGGTTGATTGTTAATATTGTTGTTAAGCACAAATTATAAACAATGGGCTATCTGCGCTGTGCCCACCACGGGTATCGACACCCGGGTTTTTAGCGTTATAAGCCACATGAAAAGTGTGCAGTTAGAATAGTATTATGTTTTCCTTATGGGGTGTCTGTATAGACCTAATATAATAATATTTCTTATTTTTTTCAGTCTTATTGTGGTGTAATATCACACAAACGTCTGTTCTATCAGACTTGATAAGGTACAATATTTTCGTTCTATTTTTAAAGCAAAGCTCACAATGGGTTATCTGCACTTTGTCCACCGCGGGGAATCGAACTCTGAATTTTAGCATAGTAAGTCCATAAACTAAGAGTTGGCCCACCGACGGATTAAAATATATTAAAGATTAAAACATGTATCTAACACAAAATAAACAGGCGCATTTCACACTATTCGAATTGAACATGCCAAAAACTTTTAAACATCATCGTCTCATGATCCGAAAAGGATACTAAATACCATTATGTCATGACTCGAAAAAGTAAAAACATCGTGTTGTCGTTGTCAAAAGGTAATTCAAAACATCGTGTTGTTATGGCTCGAAAAGCACGCAAAACTTCATCATTTCATGGACCAAAATAAATAAAACAAGTCATCATGTAATGGTCTAAAGTAAAAACAAAATGCCACCATGTCATGTCACGAAACAAATAAAAACGTCATGTTGTCTTGGCTCAAAAGGATCATAAAATATAATCATACCATGTTCCAAAAAATATATCATCTTGTCAGAGCTCAAAATGAAAACAAAACCTCATAATTTCATTGTCCAAAAACATCACGATGTCATGGTCTGAAAGGATAAAACATGGTCAGGAAGGGAAACAAAATTTCATCATGTCTTGATCCGACAAACGTCATCAGGTCATTACCAGAAATTCATGGAAAATGTTGTTATGGACAGAAAGTGTGACAAAACATCATATTGTAACGTTCAAAAGCATTACAAAACATCTTGTCGTGGCCAGAATGTGATGGAAAATGTTGTCATTGACAGAAAGTTTTACAAAACATCATATCGTGGCCAGAATGTAATGGAAAATGTTGTCATTGACAGAAATATTTACAAACACAATGTTAACATGGTCCAAAAGTATTACAAAACATCTTGTCGTGGCCAGAATGTAATGGAAAATGTTGTCATTGACAGAAAGTTTTACAAAACATCACCTCGTGGCCAGAATGTAATGGAAAATGTTGTCATTGACAGAAATGTTTACAAACACAATTTTAACATGGTCCAAAAGTATTACAAAACATCTTGTCGTGGCCAGAATGTAATGGAAAATGTTGTCATTGACAGAAAGTTTTACAAAAGTATCAAAAAATATTTTTTTTATCACCAGAATGTCATAGAAAATGTTGTCATGGACAGAAAGTGTGACAAAACATAATACTGTAACGGTCCAAAAGCATCACAAAACTTCTTTTTATCACCAGAAAGTAATGAAAAATGTTGAAAGAAAGTTTTACAAAGCATCATACTTTCATGATCCAAAAGTATTACAATGCATCTTGGCATGGCTAGAAAGTAAATGAAAATGTTGTCATGGTCAGAAAGTTTTGCAAAATATAGTATTTTCATGGTCAAAAAGTATTACAAAACAACTTGCCATGGCCAGAAAATAATTAGAAATGTTGTCGTTGACAGAAAGTGTTACAAAACGTCATATCGTCTTGGTCCAAAAGTATCCCAAAACATCATGTCATGATCGGAAAGTAATGTAAACTGTTGTCATGGACAGCAAGTATTACAAAACATCATATTGTCATGGACACCAAGTATTGCAAAACATTATATTTTCATGGACAGAAAGTATTATACTATACCATATTCTTACGACATGAAAAAAATGCTACCCATAAACTTGGATACAATTTGAGTAGTAAACATTAGCGGCTGTTATCACTCAATAAACTCTTGGATACAATTTGAGTAGTAAACATTAGCGGCTGTTATCACTCAATAAACTTTTTACTACGGAGACAACAAGACAAATAATTACTTCTCATTAAATTAATGTGTTAAGCCGGTTTATATTAAAACTGATACAAGTATCATCTGACACTTTTAACACTAATGCTTTGATTGAAAGTTAGGGTTGTAAACATTAAAGCTGATGACACTAAAATGGTACTTTAGTAGGATGGTAAAAAAACAGAAATGGATTTTTTTGTTGTTGTTTTTCATTTGATACCTAAAATATTGTTGCATGTTTTAAGAGACAATTTGAGAAATAGTTGATGAACTTCTTAATTTATCAGAAAATGGTACGAGAGTAAAAATCTAGATAATTTAAGAAACCTAAGATAACCATTATAAACATTAAAACTCACATTGTAGCCGCTTGGCTCACTGGGACCCCACCATTGGAAGTCAAACCTACTGTTATCTGACCAACCGTAATTGTTGTTATTCTCCAACTGAGTAAGTCCAATCCAGGCGGCGCTCTTGTGTGGTCCCATTAGAGCAGTCAAAAACACTTAAAATGCAAAGAATGTAGACATTACTTTTTACATTAGTTACACTACTATTCTTCGTCCAATTTTCAGTATTTTATATTTGTTAAAAAGCCTCACCTGATTGGAGTTTCGCCACAACATGCTAGCAAATATATTGAAATATACTTGAGCTTATCTGTTTATCCGCCTTAATAATAATTAAGTTACTTTTTGTTTTTACTGTTTCACTAGAAATAGTATTTTAACTACAAAATAATGGAACTAATAACTATGGCGTAAATGTAACTGCAGAAATACAAAAATTATTTTAAGAGTTTAATGTGACCACGAGGAGGATCATAAAACAAAAAAAAACATTGAGTTATTGTTTTCTTAGAGTATAACAGAATTTCTAAGCTATTAATCTACACTAAACCTAATCTAAAGAACTGATAAATCCAAAGAAACATCATAGCGTTTGTTTAAAATAATATCCACGCGAATACAAAAGCGAATATTTAACAAAATGATATTTTTTACTGATCATGAATTCTTAAAACAGTTTTTAGAATTTAATAGATATTTCTGGTACTGATTCTATAAAAATAATTCTCTCACAGACATTAACAGTAGAAAGCATAAATTCCAAGTATTAAAAATTTCAAAAGTATGACACAACGAACAAATGTTTTAACGTTATTATGCGTAATGTTTTGAAAATAAGTGGAATGACTGAAAAACAGAACTAGTTTTTTAAGAAATATTTCCTACTCTGCTCTCCTAAACTGTGGATGGACGCAAGATCGTGATTGTCTCCTATATCTCTGCATGTTTTAAGAGCAGTTCGCCATGGTAACTTTGTAACTTCTGAATCTCCTCGAAACTGAAAGCATTTGTCTCCTGCGGAAAAAAATTTAAAATAATATGATATGCTTACAATAAGGTCTGAAAGACATAAAAGATAATAGAGTAAAAGAAAACACTTGCTTACTATATCACCAATGGTATAAAGAGTGTCCCAGAATATATATACCAAAAAAACAAAGTTGATTAACTTTTTGATTATTTGAGATAACAACAAAATTCAAAACAAAATATCTTCTGAAGATATGAATGTGTTTATTGAAGTTAATTATTAATGTTATGACTAACATTATTTGTCCTTATTTTTTATGAATGTGTTTTATTTCATATTTCAGAACTGACCCTGTTTTTGGGTACAATGGCAACTCATGAAAAGGTTCCCCGAATTCATCCCTTTGGACTTTTATCTTTGGGGCTTTTAATACAAAAGTCTACGATAACAAACCAAGGGGGGTCTTGAGAAAATGAAACTTCGTATCCGCGATGCTGTCTTATCCATCCCTACAATTGTGTTGGAAAATGTTTTATAATTTGAACGCAGAATTAAATTGACTATAACTAATGATGGAAGACATGTAAAAGCCTTTTTGGTATATTTATTTTGGGATTTTGGGGACACCCTGTATTTTGTTGATATAGGCATCTAACATTAAGAGCAGAATTATTTATTTGTTGGTTGATTCAAATCTTCAGTCTTGGTGTACGTCTGTTTGTGAACTGACACCTCTTCTGCTATTACACTTTTGAATCCTCCCGTACTGCAGCAGTAAAAGTAGACTATTTTGAACTCCCATCAACACATTGACTTGTTAAATGACCCGTATCAGACATCAAAAGATAAAGTTTAAACTAAATGTCGCCAGTGTGAAAAAAGTGACTGAAGTGTGATCTGTTAATTAAAGAATATATCTTTAACATCAAAAAGCAAAATGTTCCAATAACTGAAAATATATATATTTCTCACAAGAAAACGATCATAATCTCTGGATATAACAAAAATAATAGCTTTATTACCCTTGAAGTCTATTAATTACCACCCACCGTAAGCCGACCAGTCTTTGGGACAGTTTCCAGGCATAGGTGTAGGATTTGGTGTTGGTCTCGGAGATGGACCCACATTGTTCAGTCTTTTGCAGATATAACCATCAACATTTTTTTGGCAATTTCCATCCTTCCATTTACCTGAAGAAAAGGGACTTATACAATTAAAAATAGATAAACTACAATTTATTAATAGCAATTGATAATCCAATTTTCCTCTCTGATATATTGTTACGCATTTGCTTGTTTATTAATTTCCCGTAGAAATTCTTTCCGAGAAACTTCAGTGATACAAGTCCTTTCTTAATTAAAACTAGTTTATTCTTTCTCGATACAACTTTGATATACACAGAATTTCCACAGTCACTTTAACTTAACTACTTTTATAAAAAACGCTATAATTCACAACGATTCACACACTTTACTTACGGTGCTACTGTTCGCTTGACTCAGTTATTTCTCTTCAATCTATCTCCGACTTATATACTAAAAAAAGAGGACGTCTAGCAAACGCTGGGACATTCATGAGGTTCCCCAATCTTTCTAGAAACTCCAGCGCTCATGCTCCCAGTGTCACGTGACGTCCGCTGTCGTAACACTACCCCTTCCTTAGTATTGTTCGTCCTGAACAATAGCCACTTACATTAAACCAAAAGATAATTAACAATAAATTTGAATATACAGAATTTACAAACACAAAATTAAAATTCAACAAAGTCTCTTAATTCTATGGGACGTATCTTCTTCCGTACTGGTCTCCATCTCGTTGGCTTTTGCTTCACGTGAGGTTCATCTGTTCCATCGGGAATTGTCCTATCATCGGTAACAGTCACATCAGTGGTAGTAACTTCTTTAGCGGGATCATTGTTTTCCTTCTCAAAACCGGATAAAGTTTCTTTTTCAACAGTAGCTTTTCCAGGTGACACGTCTTCACCAGCGTCATTTGTTCTGTTGAAGTGTTTTAAATGAAATGTCCTTACCTCGCCGACCACATTTTATTCGGAAAGTCACGTCTGAGAGACGATCCACTATGTCATATGTGCCTTCCCATGGAGAAGACAACTTAGGAAACTTTCCTTTGGTCTTCCTGGGATTATACAACCACACCTTGTCTCCAGGTGCAAAGCTGACTTCAGTACATCTCTTATCATAACATAGCTTCATGGAATCAGAAGACGTTTCCAAGTTTCAATGCACTTGATGGTGAATATCATCCATCTTTTCAGATAACACTTTCACGAACTTTGGCACATTTTCAGGCAACTCTTCGTAAGGTGAGCATCCTGTTACCAGGTCCACTGCCAATCGAAGTTCCCGACCAAACATCAGCTTTGCCAGAGTGTATCCAGTGGCTTCATGTTCTGCTGTTCTATAGGTCATCAACAGTGGTGGGAGTAAAACATCCCAGTCATTTTGGCGGCTATTACAAAACTTTTCTACCATCCCATGAGACTGAGGGTAATGTGGCGTTGTCCTGGGATTTCGTATGCCAAACAACTTGCAGCATTCATGGAACACAGCTGATTCAAAGTTACGGCCTTGATCCGAATGCAGTTTGTATGGCATACCAAATCTGAAGAAGAAATCACTAATAGCCAAAGCCACAGTTGTAGCTTCCTGATTTGGTATTGCATATGCCTCAGGCCACTTGGTGAAATAATCCATCACCATACAAATGCATCTGTTTCCAGCACGAGTTTGGGACAAAGGACCAGCAATGTCAATGGCTACTCTTTCCATTCCTGCACCATTTTTCCACATCTTGCCTCATCCAGTAACATCTCAGCCGTAGGTGACTCAATGTCTTCTTAACTCCGAGATGTCCTAATGTTAAACTTTCATGGGATTGACGCAGCACAACTTCCCATAACTTTCTCGGTATAACTGTTTGCCAGGTCGTCTCTTTCCCATCTGCAGTTTCCCATCTCCAGACAAGACTACTATCTTCAAGTTTCAACTGGTCCCATTGTGCCGAATAGTTCTTTGTCACAGGGCTTAAGCTAGACACCTTCTCTCAAGCAGGGCGCAAAACACTTACTTGTAGAAAATCAATTATTGGCTTCAAATCTTGGTCTTTCTCCTGCTCTGCTTTAATATCTATACTTGGTTCCACTTCACCACCATCATCAACTCCTTCAGTCACTTTGACTTCAGCTTGATGGCACCTAGTTAGTCCAACCTTTCTTTTAACACTTATCAGAACTTGGTCTTTATTGTTCCCAAACATCATTTTATCAAAGTTAACTACACACTTCCTCGGTGCTAAGTAGTCCACCCCTAATATGTATGGGACTTCATTGTCAGCCAAGTATACTTTGTGTCTGTCCTTTATGCCCATGAGCTCAACAGTAACACACACTGGTCCTCACAACCTTGCATAATGTCCTATCACACCACAGAGCTTCTGTATCGCTTCTGGTACTCCTTTATGATCTAACACACTGATACTCACAAGGGTTTGCTGATATGCAGAACCTATGACAAAGCTGCACTTGTGGCCAT